CCACTGCGGTCTCGCCCTGGCCCGGGCCGCGGCGCGCCGGCCTCCGGCAGGGCCTTTCCCCTCTTCCCTCGGCCCGCTCTCCCCCTATCTCTTCTTCCCGCATTCCCTTCTCCACGACAAGTTGTTAAACTTTGATGAACTCGCCCAGCGAACTTTCTTAAAGGGGCCGCGCGCTCCGCGCTGTCCCAGCCCGTGGGAGGTGGAGCCGGGTGTCCGGCACCCTGCGCCCTAGACCCTCGGTATCCCAGCCCCGGCGGCCCCACGTGAGGGGCGCCCGCAGCGGGGCTCCAGGGTCGGCGGCTCCCCTTGTATCCTAATCTGGGGCTATGGGGTTTCCGATGCAATCCTTTTACACCCAAATCCAGTCGCCCAGTCCGCGTCCGCTCTCTCCTCCCTCCCCCAGCGGCGAGCTGCGGGGGGCCGGGTTCTGGGGATGATGGCCCGCGGGGTGGGGGTGGGGGGCAGACACCTGGTCTTTGGCCTTGGCCTGACTCTGTATTACTGAGTGACCTTGAGGAAATCACTTCCCCTCTCTGGCTTCAGGCTCTCCCGGCCCTGAGGGTGGGACTTAAGATCTCAAACTCCCTTGCCGCTCCCAGTCACTGAATAGGACTCAGGGCGGGGAGACGAGTGTTTGGGACCCTAATGGTTATTAGCTCCCCGAAGGGGTACTTCGAATGACCGAGGAAGTTCCGTTCGCCCCACCGCTCCGCTTTTGGTTCGTCTCACTCCTCCCCCAGCGAAGGTACGCCACACACACCTTCTCCCCCGCTCCTACTCATAGCCCCAGAGCCGCGGGAGGAGGGAGCCGCCTCACTGCTCGGGCGGGGCCGTCGTGACTCCCACCCGGCGGGTCACTAGGGCGCGGCCGCCGGGTTGGTTTTCCTCTTGCGTTTGAAAACCCGCGCCGACCGGAGCCAGCCCCCGCCGCCACCTTGTAAATGCCCGCGCCCACCTCGGCTCGCGCTGCAATCGCAGCAGCCGCGAGTCCGGCGGAGCTGCCTGAAGACTGGGTGCCTCCTAGCGCCCCCGGCCCTGAACGCGGGCTGCCACCTGGGGGATCCCGGCCAGAGGCGCCGTCGGGCCTTGAGATGCCACTGCCAAGAGGTGAGGGGAGTCCTGCGGAACCCCGGCCCCGGTCAGCCGCCACCGGGTGTGGCGTACCGCTTGGCAACTAGTTTCTGTCCTGCCTTAAGCCGCCAAGCTATATCGATAGTAGCCCCTGGGTTTTAGGCTGGGAACGACGCGCAGCGGCGGTGGACTTAGAAAAGCTGGGTTTGCAGTCATGAACCTGTTAAGAGTGTCAGACCCTGGACAAGCGACTCAGAACCTCAGTGTGCCGACTGCTCAGTAGTGCTAGCACCACCATACAGGAGTGCTGTGCTGTGGCTTAGTCTCCCCCATAAGTTATAGTTCTTCATCGTAACTTACCATCTCACAGATAAGTAAATTGAGTCCTAGAGATGGGCGATATCTTTCCCAATGACATATTTATTCATTTAGTGAATAATTATTGAGCACCTACTGTAGGCCGGGACCCCTCTGTGCTGGTGGCAAGACCAGGAGCAGCCTGGTTTTCCTCATCTGCATTGCCGTCACTTGGTTCAGGCCCTAGTATGAGGAACTGCCTCCCATAGGAATCAGACACTGCCAACGCTTTACTTTACACCGAGTTTTCAAGCTACTTCCAGCCCCTGGCACCCCAAGATGTAACCACCCTTGTGAATCATCAGGTACCCCCACCATCCTTCACAGGCATCAGTCTAATTTGGCTTTATCAAACCCCACCCGCGTCCTCAGAACAGATCTTCCCGTCCCAACCGGCACGTCTCAAACTTTGGCCCAGGAATATTCTTCCTCCTCTCCCTCCTCCTCCCCTATCTCCAACTCCCTCCCTCCTTCCCTACCTCCTTATCAATCCAAATCCTCCCCTTCCTGGAGATCCTTCTTCAGCCCTGCGTTTTCCAGGAAGAGAAGCCTAACCAGTTTTCTAAACTCGGGTAGTCCCTATGTAATTAATTTGAATTGTTCAAACAGGAAGGGGCTCTCATCTTGTAATTCTGGTCTCCGTTTTATAAATGGGTAAACTGAGGCTCAAAGAGGTGACAAATGACACAGGGTCTACAATTCACCCACATCACTGTATTTTCCATGATAGGAAGCTGATGATTCTTTTAAAAATAATATTACTTTTCTGATCATAATAGCAATACATGCTCATTGTTGAATACTGGAAGCTATAAAATAGTCTAGAAAACAATGTTGCCATCTACAGAGTAAGATTGTTCCCTGGACTTTGGACTTTCCAATCTCCAGAACTGTAAGCAATAAATTTTGTTTTCTTATAAATTAAAAAAAAAAGATTATTAATATTTCCTTCTAGTCTTTTTTTCTGTGCGTATTTTATTTTATTTTATAGGGGGTTTTTTTGGCTGCTGATTGGTTTGAGGATCTGAACCCTTGACCTTGGTGTTATCAGCACCATGCTCTAACCATGTGAGCTGACTGGCCAGCCATATGCAAATATTCTGTGCGTATTTTTAAAAAACAAAATTGCAATCTGCTAAACATACAGTTGAAGTACTCTTTTCTTTTTGCTCAAACTTATGAGAAAGAAAATTGCAATCTGCTAAACATACAGTTGAAGTACTCTTTTCTTTTTGCTCAAACTTATGAGCATTTAAAAAAAAATTCTTTAGTCAGGGGCTGGCCAGTTAACTCAGTGATTAGAGTGCAGTGTTGATAACACAAAAGTCAAGGGTTTGGATCCCTGTACTGGCCAGCTGCCAAAAAAAATTTTTTTTTTAGTCATAATTTTTAATGATTGCTTAACTCCCATTAGGCTGCTATTTATTTATTTAACTTATCTCTTGTTGCATTATTTCCAGTTTCTTTACTTTTTGCCTTCACAAGCAGCACTTTGTATGAGGATTCTTAATGCTCAGAAAGCTTCCTCTATGTGTTACTAGCCAGCAACTGTCTTATTCCTCCCTGTGTCCCACCCAGCCCATACCTTCATGAGTAGTTATGAGTACCCATTGGTGCCAACTGGGGAAGTCAGGGTTGGGGGTTTGATGCAGATGGAGCTGGAGAGAGGAGTTTGGGGTATACAACTCTTACAGACTGCCCAGTGAATAGAAACTTTTATCTCTGTCTCCCCAACTAACTTAGTATAGCCCAGACTGAAGCAATCTCTTCAGTGCCCCCTCCTCCCCCAGTGTCACCTCTGAGCTTCTTGCATTTCCATTTCCTTTACTTGCAACCTCCCCCACCCCCACTCTCCAGAAAAAGGGAGAGAGAGAGAGAGAGATAGTGTGTGTGTGTGTGTGTGTTTAATGGGTTTTAAGTTTCTGGCAACAATTAAATGGCACTTGCTAAACTTTTACTGGTTTTGAGGCCTTCCCAGGGAACCAGAGGTCACTGAGAATGCCTCTCTGGCCTGCTTCCCTGCCTGAGTCCCTGGCCTCCCAGAACCTGGGAGAGGGCCCTCTAGGCCAGACAAACTGCAGAATTGCCTGGAATGCCTGGGAGGCTGGCCCCACAGGGCAATTTCCTAAGAAAGACCAAGGGGTTTAAAGTAGGAATGTTTGGGCCGGCCCGTGGCTCACTCAGGAGAGTGTGGTGCTGACAACACCAAGGCCCCGGGTTCGGATCCCATATAGGGATGGCCGTTTTGCTCACTGGCTGAGCGTGGTGCTGACAGCACCAGTCAAGGGTTAAGATCCCCTTACCGGTCATCTTACAAAAAAAAGAAAAAAGAAAAGTAGGAATGTTTGCACTTGACCAGGGTCCAGTGGGGCAAGTGACTCCTTTGGGGACTGGAGTTCTTCTTGGAATGAGGTGGGGCTAGGCAAGGAGGAAAGGTAAGCTGGCTTTACCTCCATCACTGAAAGTAGCAGTGCAGTTCCATTGCCCTCCATCTTTACTGCCTTTTTTGCCTTTTGGAAGATCCTGTTGTCCATGAGGGGAAGGGAGCGGATGCACTCATTCTCTCTAAGGCCTTAGGAATTTAAGGAGGCAGTAAAGGGAGAGGACAATGCCCAGCCAAAGAAACGCTTCCCCAGTGGTGGATGTTAGGGCACTGCAGATCATAGAATCTACATTAGAAGGGGCCCTAGAGGTAAGCCAAGCCAGCAGACCCCACACTTAGCTGCAGACCAGAATTGCCTTAGGAAAAAGACATTCCTGAGGCCCATCTGAGAACAGTTCCATCCAAATCTCTAGGGGCAGACTTCAGAAATTTTGTACCCCAGCAACTACAACCCTAGGACCTGAATCCAACTGTTTGGACCAGATACTTGAATCTCTACCAGAAGCTAATCCAGCCTCTGCCTGCACTCAGGCATAAGCAGCTCACACCTCCCACCCCAAATTGATCATTCCATTGTCATACCTCCAATACAAATTACAGTGGTATTGTTACCAGATAATGATTAGTGATAATTAACATTTGTCTGGTATTTGGTATTCGGCTATTGACTTTTTAGCACAGATGTTAAGCTT